CATGGGCAGCATCCCCACCACCACCGGTCACTGATCAGAGACGGCTCCACCTCTGGGAGACGTCACCCCGAGATGTCCCAGAGCAGCAGCGTTCGGTCACGTTTCTGTCCATCGGTCAGTCTCAGGCTGTCCATCATTGATTCTGGTTTGCTCCTGCCGCCCAGAAATCTGCAAGAGAGCAGGGAGGTGGGTACCAGCCCTGCCCGGGCCTGCCCTGCGCACGGAGGCGGGCCCCAGCAAGGGGGACGGGGGAAGAAAGCAGACCCCTCTCCCAGCGAGCACCAGCCCCTTCCCACCTCTGCGGACGCACGCAGCCCCAGCCAGCCCCGTGTGCCGTCCACCCGCAACACAGGACACGCGGCAGTAACTCGTGCAGGGAAGAAAGGGGAGGGAGAGGCTGTCGGGACCCTCTGCGCCCAGTCCTGCTGGGGCAGCACAGGAGAGGGGCATCATGTCACTTCAGGGGACACTCCGAGGTGTCCAGACAAGCATCCTCCAGTAGGAACGACCAGAGGCACCACGTCACCCGCAGGCTGAGAGGAAAAACCCAGCAAGTCCTCCTGCCCTTCCCAAATCACCCCTAGGACTGTCACCGAGGGCTCAGAGATGTTCCCCGTGTTGCTCGGCGCTGGCTCTGATGACAGCACAGGGTGGGGGGGAACTCTGCTCCACCCCCCAAAAGCAGAGGAAGGGGTGAGAACAAGCGCAGCCAGACTGAGCCCCAGCTGCCCTCACCCAGAGGCCCCAACACCCAGAGTCTGCTGCCTCTTCCCCAGCACAGCGTGGGCCATGCAGCGGCCTCAGGAGGGGCAGAGCCTGGTACAAGGTGACCAAGGCACCTGAAGAAGGTGACACCACACCCCTGGGCACGGCAGCCGTGCCCCTGTACCACGGGGCACCAGGGTTTGTGCCACAAGCCCTGCTCTAATCCCGCGGAGGGGGAAATGCACGTCACCTAGAGTCTAGCAGAGGATGAAGCAATACCCAGCAAGGCGGGGAAGTCGTTGGCTGAGGTCAGCCAGCTCCCGCCGTCCACGACCAGGGTGGTGCCCGTCACGTAGGAGGAGAGGGGGCTCGCCAGGTACAGCGTGCTGTGGGCGATCTCCGTCTTGTTCCCCGCACGCTGGAGGGGGATCGTGTCGAACTGGCGACTTTCCTCAGCAAATTTCCCACCTAAGAGGGGCAGAAGGAAGAGTCAGCTGAGGCCGTGGGACCACCCACCTGCCAGACACTGCAGCACAGCTCACAGAGCCCCAGGAAACCCAGACAAGATCCTGGCACAGCCCTGGGGACAGCCCAGAGACAAAGGCCTGGGAAGGGGGTTAAAGGAGGGGAGCTCAAGCCCAGCAGTGGGATTTGAAGCGACAGGATGAGGGGCAATGGATTTAAACTGGAAGAGAGCAAATTGAGATGAGATATTGGGAAGAAACTATTTACTGTGCAGGTGGTGAGGCAGTGGCCCAGGTTGCCCAGAGAAGCTGTGGATGCCCCATCCCTGGAGGGGTTCACGGCCAGGCTGGATGAGGCTTTGGGCAACCTGGGCTGGTGGGAGGTGTCCCTGCCCATGGCATGGTCCCTTCCAACCCAAACCATCCTGTGGTTCTATGATCTGTACTGCACCTGAGAGCTCAAGCCAGGACCTCAGAGAGCTTTCCCACTCTGCAGGGCTGAGCCAGCACTCTGCTGATGGACTGCAAGAGCTAAACCATCAGGCAAGGCAGCTGCCCAGGCTGAGCTTTGGGGGAGCACACTACATCATGGCATCAGAGAGCACAAAAGACAGCCACTCGACAGAAAATCAGTGCCCTGCAAGGGCCTGAGGACATGGGAAGGGCTGTTCCCCCAAAGAGATGTGCCAGCGGAGTCACAGGACAGCGGTGCCCAGCAGCCACATGACACGCCCCACGAGCTGCATGGTCCATCACAGCCCCCTCCCAGACAGACACCAGCAAGCCACCACCGAGGCAGAGACAGGAGCCCCAGGTTGCCTCACCCAGCCGCCGGTAGCCCTCGGTGCCAGTAATGGGGCCCGGTGCCAAGCTGTTCACCCGGATGTTGTTGGGTCCCCACTCCACAGCGAGGTGACGGGTCATGGCATCTGGGAAGGGATGACAACAGCAATGAGAAATGGAGAGCTGAGCCATTCCAGGAACTTTTGAGGGGGCCAAAAAGCTCCTGGAGACTCTGGCCAAGAGCAAAGGGTCCTAAAAGAGTCCTGAGGGAGAGAAGAGCCTCAACCCAAACGAGGCACATAGTAACCACACTGGTTCATACTCTCCTCTCCCAAGGACATCTTCCCATCCCAATAATCGGGACGAACCAGCTTCCTTACTGTCCCCACACAGCTTTCAGAGCCCCAGCAAGGAGCCTGGAGGTACCTATGGCAGCTTTAGCAGCACCAGCGTGCGCCTGGAGGGCCTGCCCTCGGTAGCTGAGGGTTGCCGTGATGTTAACGATGACCCCGCCGTGGTCCTGCGGAGGGAAAGGAGACGTCGTGTTAGGCAGGGAACAGCACAAGGGGTCATGGAGGGGAGCAGTGGGATGAGAGAGCTGGGTTAGGAGGGACAGACATGTGTGGGCAAAGCCACCTCTGTGTTGATAACCCATCTTGGCCTCACAGTGGGACCCTTACAGAGAGGCTGGAGCTGCAGGGGACGAGCAAGGGCCAAGGGAAAGCAGAGGAGCTGGAAAAGGAGCAGCAGATCCTCGCCTCTTCCCAGGCAGGTGGCAGAGCACGGAAAGGGGCCACAACAATCGAAGCCCCAGGGCTAGGGATGGGCAGGATTCGTGGTTCCTGCATAGGGGCTGCCATCCCTGGGAGGGAACGGACTGGATCTGAGCGGGGGGGATGGCAGGCGCCCAGCAGTACAGCCCTGGGTACACGGGTGCTGTGGTCCCAGCTGCTCTCCACGCTGCCCTGAATTTCTCAGGAGCACAGTGTGGTTTGTTTGACACCAGCCCCTGCCCACCAAGAGCCCTTCCAGCAAATCCCCTGGCTCTGGTTCCACTTACCCGGAAATACTTCTCAAAGAGGACTTTGGAGGTGTTGAAGGTGCCGATGGTGTCGATATCTATCACGGTCTTGAAGGCGTTGAAGGACAGGGCGCTGGCTGGGCACAGAAAGTTCCCTGCAGCACCTGGGGAAGAAGCAGCCGGGGGCACAGTCAGGACGGGGCTGAGAGCGAGCAGGCAGGGTGAGGGCACTCCTGCGAGAGGGACAGTGAGTGACACTGTTTGGGTAGGCTGGAGAGCGTGTGGAAAAAGCCCTCATAAGGGGATAAACAGCTTGTGGCCGTGGGTGCCCAGCAGCACAGGCAGCCTGAGGGCAGGAGGGTGCTGTGCAGCGAGAGCAGAGATGATGGGGTGCCCTCGCATTAAGAACAGCTCTTTGCTTGCTCTGAGACCATCCCCTCTGTGCTCTCAGGGGCTGCCCCGATGCTCCTAGGCCACAGCAGCATAAGCCAGACGCTAGGCAAACACAACCCCACGCAGGAAAACACCCTTCCTAGCAGCGACTCT